TTTTCTTAGGGATATTTTTGCGAAAGCGAATTTAAGCACACTTCGAACTCGCCCTCCGAATCGTCGTCCTGAGATGTTAAACATCACACTGCCTACTATCCTGTGCCCATAATGTCTCCGAAATTTCAATGTTCTTATTGTTAGCAACAGTATCTTTGTAGATTATATTCTTCTTAGAGTTTTCTTCTTTGTCATATATTCTGTCTATGACATTCTCAATGTTGGATTAAGCACATCTCTGTTATGTTTGTGACGAAAGTGTAGCAGCTTCAAAACAACTCGGTTGAACTGTAGACATCCTGGCATATTTTGAAATTCCACATTGATATCAAAGGGAAGCCATCTTTTCTTTTAAGGAATATCTTGGCCACATCGTCCGCTTATCTTGCGATTTTAGTCAGCATTAAAAGACATGCAAAGTATAAAATAATACAATTTTTAAGTGGCTAGCTGCTTGTACATTGCAAAAGTCGAAACGTATTTTGATTTTCAGGCGATCAAATGAGGTGAAGTCAGAAAATAATGCCAAACGTACAGAAACATGCACACACAGAGACACACACAGACACACACACACACATACACATGTACATTCACAACTGTATACGCATAAAATACGCATCTACACAAACAAAGACAAACACACACATGCACGCAAAATGTAGACACACACATGCACACAAAGACTGACATGTATAAATTCACACTCATTGGTGGTTAGTAAATTAGATTTTAGCAATTCATTATGAGATTCGGGAGTTCGATCCCCGTTTGGTGCTTCACTACTTTCGCCATCTTCAGTTATGCAAATTAGCGAAACGATTCTTTAATGTAATCAGTTCATTGATCAGTGATACCCAATTTCTATGACCTTGTGACATACATAACTAAACTTTCTTTGCAAATAATAAGACAGAAAGCAACACGCGTGTTGCAAATGAAATAATAATCACATATACATAGCTTATCATCTTAGCGACACAAGAATACATATGCATACACACATTTGCACTGTCGGGGGAACTTAGATTACGCGGAAGGGATCCACTGAAGTAGGTCACCAAAAGGTCATAAATTATGTGCGAATGCATGCAAACTCAAGTATAGAGACGACCAATGTTTACCACCTGACTCAAGCATACACCCGGCCAATATTTACCTTTTGGCACAAGTATAAACACGCACAATGTTTACCTTTTGACTAAAGTATAAACACGCACAATGTTTACCTTTTGACTAAAGTATAAACACACACAATGTTTACCTTTTGACTAAAGTATCAACCAAATCAATGTTTACCTTTTGATTCAAGTATAAACCCAATCAATGTTTTGACTCAAGTATAAACACGACCTTTTGGCTCAAATAAAAACTCGGCCACTGTTTACTTTTTGACTCACGTATTAATCCAACCAATGTTTACTTTTTGACTCACGTATTAATCCAACCAATGTTTACTTTTTGACACTGGTATAAATTCGCCCAATATTTAACTTTTGACTCAAGTATAAAACGGACAAATATTTTAGGTTTAGCCTCAAGTATAAACCAGTCTAATGTATTTTTAAACTCAAGTATAAAAACAAATTTCACTTTGAATGGCCTAACAGATATTGATTTGTCTTAAAATCTACCAAGGCAACCCATGTACACATATCTGGTACCCGCTTTAGGAATCCTGTTATTATGATGTTTTATATGAGTTAAGTCTGGTAAAATAGCGCCTGTCGCTATGATATTATTTTTCGTGTTTATATAAAATTTCCAAATATCTTCCGTTCAGAATCACCATAAAACCAGACCGAATTGCAGATGTTAATAAAATAAAATATGACAAAAATGCAATTATATTGGTTTTAATCTAGGGCACTGCAAAAGTAGTTATACAGTGAGTATTATACCAGTATTACCAATATCATAATATTATACCAGTATATTATAATGTATCATAATATTATACCAATATCATAATAGTGATTCTAGAATTCATTCATACTAGAATTCATTTGATTCATTAAAATCATTTTTAATAATTTTATTTTCCTAATTTTTATTATAATTTTTATTTTTTAATAAATAATGTAATAAATGTTTCACAGGTAAAAAGGAGAGTGTGAGACAAGGGCACACTGTACATTTGAAGTATCGATATGTTTATTAGTGGTATGTTATTATTGATATGTTCGTATAATCAATACAATATGTTTTGCGCACACATTTTGTTTTTCATTACTGCGTAAACCTACTTTTGTAGAAAACGCGAACAAAAATATTTCATCAAACATTTTGATACGAGCTCTTCAGAGTCTCTGTAAATTTTGAATTGGCCTGTTGTCATGCCAACCAACCATATTTGATAGGTTTTCGGTGCTGATTCTCAAAACACTTTGAGATCTTGCGATTACGTTTGGAGAAATAAACCATTAAATTGTTTATATTCCATTTAAAAAACCCGCTTTCAGTTTCTAATTACTTTACAGCTATTTTTTTAACAAGTTGCCATATTTGTCTGTATTGGAATTTTATTAAATTCTAGGTTTGCAACTTCAATCAGATGAAAAGAAAAATATGTAGGAAAAACTACAAAAACACCTCACCCGCTTGTTTGTGCGTGAGGAAAAAAATCTTTTCTTTTTTTTTTTTGTAAGATATTTCCAACAAAATATTCAACAAATAAACGCAGGTACATATTGTTGCTACGTATCAGAAAATATATCTATATGCGCCAGAATTAATATGTTCACTTCATATTTTCGTTTTTTTTTCCCTTTAAATGACTAAAACAAAATCTGGTACATTTAAATTCAGAAAGGTTAATTTATATTAAAATTCTTTGTCCATCTTTCGCGCACGCGCACGCACACACACACACACACACACACACACACACACACACACACACACACACACATATATATATATATATATTGATGCATGTATCAATAAATAATATGGACAAGTTTTGTCTATTTATTTTATGTAAATTCTTTTCATATCATCTGATAAGCTTAATAACATTATCATTAAAAGACGAAAGAAAATCACCATATTGATACATATTTTTTAATCCTATCTAAGCTTTCGATTTACATAAGCTATTATCAAAGATGACAATTACAATATATTAAACAATACACGGACAAAACAATAATGATAGTCTGTTTTTGGTTGCATGGAAGATTTCCAAGCAACGACATACTGGTGCATACAAGACGCTGGAAGCGAAAATCACACCGCAGCTCATGACATCACACATGACCACGCGAGAGTGAAAAAGAGAAATATTAAGTATGGGAAGCCGTTGATATTACCCAATGGTTTCTGTTATCAATTATAGGCATTTAAGAATATATATATATATATATATATATATATATATATATATATATACAAGGTGTCTAAAAATGTATACATATTTTGAAGCTTTCTCAAGAAATAATTCACGCAACTAGAACCAACAATATATAATTCAAATAATGCATATGAAAACAGTATTTATTATAAACGCATGCTCTTTAGATTTTGTCATCGAATGTTTTCTAATTGATGTTTAAACCTGGGTATGACGATAAACTACACCAGGCAGCAAGGCCTGTGATCGGGAAATTGAAAGTTTTAAGGAGCATGGAACCATCTCTTAACTACTGTTATTCCTACGTCCACCGTGAGCCAGGATGGTAGCATATGTTAGGATCCTAGCAATGCGCAAATAGTTAACCCCGAAACACTATAAATTATAAAGAAATAAATTTATATCGTAAAAATACCAGTAATACAATTTTATATAAAAAATTTACTAACGATACATATTTCTAGTAGAATTACCAAAAATACATTTTTAAAGCAAAATGACTAACAATAAATTTTATATCAAGATGACCAACAATAAATTTTATATCAAAATGACCAACAATAAATTTTATATCAAAATGACCAACAATACATTACTAACAATAAATTTTATATCAAAATGACCAACAATACATTTTAGCTGCAGTTGAAGCCATAGAATTATTTTTAAAATATTTAGATTTTGGCATTAAATAACCCATTGATATGCAGCTAAAGAAAATCAATCGACCAACCAAGCAAATTGATATCCGTTATGACTCAGACAATTCTGATAATACAGTGAAATCCCAAGCAGGGATCAACATTTCGATAGGTTTCTTAGATTATTTATGAAAACTTTCCATCACCCTTTCTTTCTTCACAGGACGCAATAGATAACCGTGGTCTTCCGGAACGGTTCTTGTGTACATACTCTAAAGTAACATCATCTTCAAACTTATCTCGAATTCGTGATGTTGTAAGCCGCGTGGTTGGATCTGAATGAAACTCTCTTCGAAACCGTCTTTGAACTTCAACTACATTTTCCAACTTCTAGTAGCCTTTCTGGACGAACTTTTTTTGTTAAAAGTTAAGCTTTGAATGTCGTTAGTAATACGAACGTGTAAATCTGAAAAGAAAGAAAGCTGACTTTAGCCATACAGTGTAAAAGTGTGTGTATACAGTTTTTGAGACACCCTGTATATAAACAGAAAAGATGTGAGAGTGACTTAAAGACTGAAGAATATTAATATGAATAGAGGAATTGATATATAGTGAAAAGATATGAGTGCATAGAAAGCGACGAAGCATTTTGCCTTGGAACGTAAATGGGAGCCTGTTTACTACCTCCATCTTGCCAGCAGTTGCTCGCCTGGGAATAAAAAAAAAAAAAAAGAGGAAAGAAGAATGGATCGGCATTATTCGTGTTTTTATTTCAGGATCCCTTTTGAAAAACACCGAGTGAAAACAGAAAAGAAACGAAAAGGCAAAGAATGGTAGCAGAGAAAAAGCTTTAACAATTACAAGATCAATATTTTTATGACAATTTTGAAAACTGTGTGTGTTTCGTAATTTTCTGGGCTTTGCCAGTGTTCCGTAGGATTTCAGGCGTGAAGAAAAAGAAACCGTTTTGTTTTTTTTTAAAGAAGGAGATGAGGCATGCATAGAATTTAAAAAAAATGAGTGACAGAGGAAGAGGATAAAGAAGATACTGAGGAAGATAAAAGAGATAATTGAGAAGAGGCGAAATAAAGAGAAAACAGACGAAGAAAGCAAAGATTACTGCGGTAAGTGTTATAAAGAGAGAAAAAAGACAAGAATGTGTAGGTGAGGACGAACGTTACAGTGTCTATAAAAGAAGAAATGCTAGAAGGAAAAGAGAAGGAATAAGAGAAGGAAAGACGAGGAGAGAAACAGGGAAGGACGCTGGGTAAAAGAAAGAGGGAGAGAAAGTAAGAAAAGAAGTGAAGAAGAAATTCGTTGAAAAGAAAAAAGAAGAAAATGGCGAATCGCAATGAGAAGCTCAATAGATAGAGAACTGCGTAATAAAGGAAGCGTCGAATGAAGGAAATTAATTGAAAAGGGAAAGATAAAAAAGGTGTGAGGCAAAAGTACATCGGCTGTAGAGCGCGGAAAGAATGAAAATAAAAAAAAGGAGAAATTTCATGAAGAAGAATTACTCGGAATGATGAGTGAAGAAAAGAACAAAGAAAAATGAAGAAGGAAGAAGGGTAAAAATGAGCAAAAGAAGAAAAAGCAACAGAGGAACAAGAAGAAATACGGTAAAAACAAGAAATGGTAACGTAGAGGAACTAAGAAAAAAATGACCAGAAAAATCGGGAAAAATGAGAAGAAAAAGAAAGGAAAAGAAGAAGAAGAAGAATGAAAATAAAGAATGAGAATGAAACAAAATAACGAATTAAAATGTAAAAATAGCAGAAAAGGAAAAGGAAAGATTTAAGAGAAGAAAATAAGGATGATGATGATGATGATGATGATGATTGTGGTGGTAGTTGTTGTGGTTATAACCGTTTAACCTAGAAGGTATCGGGAAGACTAGCTATAAATCGCATCAATAATAACATTTTTGAAGAAAGAATTAAGATCGGGGGATCCCGAAAATCTGAGGATATATAGGACTTGAAGATGGAAGAGGAAGCATTTTTTTCATGGAAAATGTTTATATCCAATCCATAACTGCACCGTATTCAAATAATGACACATAATTTTATAGTAGTAAACAAAGAAAAGAAAACGTGACAGATCCTAGCTACGGTTCTGCCGTTGGACTACTTGTTAAAAACAAAATTTTGAAAAAAAATTGAAAATATAATGATCTACGCCTGAGAACTAACGAAAAGAAAACATGTTCAAGTATAATAGTTGGCGATCTTGGAATTGTACGCAAAATGCAAGAGAGGTTGAATGAAGTTTGAGGAGAAATTACAACTTTACCGCGATTTGGAAATTTTCGATGATACTGAGGAAGGTACTTGAGATTTGAAAAGATTTGTTCTAGCATCACCTCCAACGATAACCTGCAGATATTTAACGGGAACATACAAAGCATAAATGAGAATCTGGAGAAATTGAGACTTTTTATTTAATCGCCAAGAGAAGCTAACAGTTCCGATTAGTGTGGACACTTAAAATAACAATTACTCACATCATTTTTATATACAGTTTATTTTTCTCATCTTTGTTGCTTTTATCAAATCGTTTCGGCCGAAACGTCTTGATAAAAAGAACAAAGATGAGGATAGTAGTACGAATATAAATAGTGTAAATGATGATAACGCCTCATCCCTAAAATTCAAACAAAAACAACAATACCAAGGATATGGATCTATGAAGATATTGTGAGAAAGTGCAAGAGTTTTCAATCTCCAGTGATTACCACTAGATTTCTCTGCGTCATTACCTATTGTATCAAGTTTCTAACGTTTTGTACGTCGAACCTATTTTAGGACCGACCTAGTACAAATACAAGCCTCCACTGTGAAATCACTCCACAACAAATAATAATCATAATAATCATAACGATGATGACAATAATGACAATAATAATAATAACAATAATAATAATAATAACAATAATAATAATAATGACAATAATAATAATAATGATAAGAAGAAGAAGAAGAAGAAGAAGAAGAAGTAAGAATAGAAAGAAGAAGTAAGAAGAGATATTGACGAAGAAAAGGAGAAAAAGGAAAAGAAAAACATTTGAATAAAAAGGAAGAAAAAAATTACATTTTGGGCGTTCTTTTTTCTTTCCTTCTGCAATTCTATTTCTTTAGTCTAATATTGTTTATATTGTTTCGCCATTCGACAGTTTCAGTCTTATTTTTATATCCTCCATACACCGGAAGTTGTGAGTCAATCCGCTTAGAAACTCGTCGAACGCTTGTGCCAATTCGTCTGCTTCTTGTATTTTCTTTTCTATTTTACTTCCGTATTTCTTTAAAAAGAGAAAGAGTGAGAGAGAGAGAGGAATAATTAATAAAGAAAAAAAATATATGAGATTATGTAATCGGGTTTTTGTAAGCAATTGAATGAACACGTACATCTGTTAATTATCACAACTAAAATTGTTTGGAAATTTACCTCCAACACAACAGCTAGTGTATGAGTATAGGCAAATGGTTTGAAGCAATCAAAGTGAATAAAACTCAGAAAGGAACGACCATCAGTTGTTGATTTGTAACGTCACAAGTCCCATAACCCATTCATGTAGTAAGAGCTCTACATACTTTGCAGCCGTAACAATAATGGTGTGTCTGGGGTTGCGTCACCTGACTGAACCTATTCTTCTTCATGATGAAGCAAGAGAACTAATTCTGTTCTGGTATTTAATCCATAGCTAAGAGATAAGCTAATGATTTTTTTCCAAGAGTATTAGCGCGAAGTGAACAAAATAGAATCGAACTGGAACTCGGTTCACTCAATTCGTTTTCTACGCCGATAACCATAATTCTATACACGTCGCCAGTTACCGATTATGGTAACAAGTTACTCTTGAATTCAGTAACTGATATCGTTTTTGCCTGTAATTATGGGTGCTACCTTTCTAATCTTTTATTTGAAGTAGTTATCTCTTAGGGTTAAATGTATCCATTTTCGTTGGCGCTGCTGTTGAACGTCCACAAATGATGTGGTTTCTGTTATTTGGTACAGTTCTTTGTAATTCTGTAGTGACAGAAGGATAGCAAAGAATGGTTGTTATATTTCATACACTTTTTTTTTAATCATCGATCTGTGATGCATGACATCCACATGAAAGTCTTGATCTGATGAAACTCGAGTTTTTAAGTTAATTATTTGGTTTTATTACAACTTGCGATGCTGCGCTAAATTCACTCTAGTGCTGCCTATTTTTTATAACTTCTCCATACACCGAGGTGTTTGACGTCTTTAGTGTTTACTAATTCTACCTCCTGAATTTTTATGATGGATTCAAGCTATGTGTCATAACTGCTTCCATTCCAATTCCAGTTCATAGTTTCTGTTTTGGAGACATTTATCTTGAGTCCTACTTCTTGGAACACTTCTTAGAGAATATTGCTTTTTTTTGTTCCAGATCATTCTTATCTCAACTATGAATACTTGTATCATTGGCATATTATGGTGTTTTAAAACTGAAGCGAAAGGATAACCCAAACACAGGTACTTGTGGTTGTATCCCATATAAAACACGTCCTCACCATCCTTAATCGAATAGGACTACAGGAAACAAGGTGCAAACGGTCAAAATGGGACTGAAATTATTTTTCCTCATTGTGTTAAAAATGATGAACCAATGTCTCAACTACCATCAAACTATCGTACCATTTCACATTCCGAGAGATTAGAGTGCTCACCTGCTTTAATTGGACAAAACTTCTTGATTGATTTTTTTACGACTTATCAAGCCAGAAAATATATTTTTTTTTGCATTGTAATTATTTTTCTGAGATAATAAAGATCTACAGGTCCAATATCTACTAATAAACTCAGAACTGGGAGAGAATAGATGGATTCATTTCCAAGGATATTTGGGTATCAGAGAATATAAAAAACCCAACTGGGATTGGAACGTGGCCCTCTGATTTCCAATTCCGACCCATTATCCATTACACCACCCGTACATCCAAGCTTACTGCACCTGGTATTCCCAAATGGTCACCCATCTAGGTACCGACAATGCTAGACATTGCTTAACTTTGTTGATAGTACGAGAAGCGTCTTTTCAACATAATACGGCCGTAAGACTTGACGATGTCTTACTCTACAAATGAAAATATGGGGTATAAAGTAATTAAAGAAAGCTATCGGGAAGAATCTAGATTATAATGTAAAAGTGTGAGAAAATAGTAATAATGATGGTAAATGGGTTTTGGAAGAGTAGCAGACGCTGATCAAATTAAACTAAGAATCAAATATCAAGAAGAAAGTGAAAAAAAAAAGAAGACATTTCTGATAATAGCCATAATGATCGCGACCGATATCAACACCGCACGCCAGAATTTTAAAATTCTGATACGCCAAAAGATCTCCTTCAAGGTATGAAACTAGATGATCATCAGCATGAGAATGCTATTGATCATCGAGGTTCAACCGAGTGTCGCCAACGAAGGCATATCTTAATATAGAACGATCCAGATCAGTATCGTCTCGATGGAAATTTAACTTAAGGAGGAAATGAAGGGAAAATAGAAAAGGAAAGAGAAAAGTTAAACAGAATAAACATGTAGAAGCAACCGATCTACCAGGAACGTCAAAGCCCTTACGATAGAGCCAAAAAGCGTGTCCGTCTCCTTATGAGCGACGAATTATTTTCCACACTACAACTCCTTTCTCACAGATGAAATGTCGTAAACCTCTCGTTGATATATCGCTATTTCCATGGAAAATGTTCAGACGAAGTACATTCCATAGTTCCACTAGTTCTAACCTTCATAGCTAAGATCCGTTATGCTATAAAAATTATGGCGAACCACCTTAATTCTCTTCTTATTCTGTTCCAGAGATTCAAGTTCCACTCGAGCAGCTGCTTCACGCGAACCGCCCGTTCGTGGAACCAATTCCCAAGAGGATGCTTTTCCGATCATTACAATCTTAACTTGTTCAAGTCTAGGGTTAACCGTTATCTTCTACACATATTCACATAAACTGTGCCTCTTACTCTGTAACTTTCTTTTATCTCGAATGACTCTGGGGGCTTTTACAGAGTGAATATCATTGTAAAAAATGTTTAAGAACGATCTTGAATATCACATAACAGAAACTGCTTAAGTTTACTGCTGTTGAGTTTCTAATATTTCTACCGTTCTTCTTAGATATTCTCTTTGGGCTTTAAACTTTTATTCACTTTATATTTGCTTCTTATCACAACTACCAAAGTCAAACGTTAAAGCAAGTAACGCGAAATAAAAAAAAAAAATGAAAAACGAGAATGACTACATAACTCCGAACAGAATGACTGCTAATATAATGTGGAATAATTACTTAAATAGCGATAGAACTAAAGACAAACGCAATAAAAAGTTGAATCGGTTAATGTAGATAGTAAAATTAAACAATACAATTTAAATATGTGAAAGTGTTTAAACAGAGGACGAAAGAAGTGTCTAAAAAGCAAAAGAAAGAAAATATAGAAAGAAGAAAATTTCATTAGAAACGAAGAAAAGAATACTTTTAGGTAATATAAATCCTCCTATATGGCAGTGAATGCTGGACAATCTCCTGAAAGATAAAGAAGAGACTTGAAACACCAGAAATGTTGCTATACAGAAAGGTGATATAAATCCATGGGCTGAAGATGTGAGCAAAAACGAAATTTTCTAGAAAATGGAATCAAAAAAACTCTTATGCTTAACGTCAGAAAGTGACAGTTGAAATTTATAGGGCATATAATGAGGAAAGAAGGCTTGGAAAATCTGATACTCACAGGACAGATTGAAAGCGACAAAGGAATACAGCGCACAAGCTACCTAACGAACTTGTGTAGATGAATGGCAGAACAGGATTTAAGAGAGATGAAAATAGACAAAATTTATTAAGAGCTACAGAGTATAGAAAAAAATGTAGAGCCATGAACGCCAACGTCCTGAAGGGGCATGACAAATAGTAGTAGTAGTAGTAGTAGTAGTAGTAGTAGTAGAAGAAGAAGAAGAAGAAGCGTGGTAGAAAGACATACATTGAGAATTCTATTAAGAAATTAGTCTACACGATAGTGTTGATGAACTGGTGTTAAGGATGTTGAAAGGTAGGCCGGATCTATTGACAGGTTTGCGATACATATAAGAATGTTTGGACAGGAGATATATACGAGATTTTGCGTCTGTTTCCCCACCGGGTAAAAACTTGTTCAGTATGTAAAGTTTTGTCCTGAGCACATCACGAACAACAAGCATCAATCTACGGCTGCCTATCTCTCTACACAGTACTGTAATCTCTACTCTTATTTCTAAAGATATCGCTGATATTATCCCAAATGAGCTGATAAATATGAAATAAGTGAGAGAATTGTCTTGGGTTTGTAAGGGAAACATAGTGAAATCGACGGGATTTTCGTGACAGTGGTGTTGATCGATGCTTTAATAGAGTGAGAAGTTAGGGTTTGGAAAGGATTGAGAAAGATAAAAGATGGGGGTAGTTATGTTGTAATGGTAGGAGAGCTGGTCGGGGTGGAGGGAGATTTGCTGTGATGAGTTGATGTTATTTCAAGTGTTCCAAGTTTATTTTTGTAGCGATTACTGAGAGTGGATCGGCTCAAGATGATAGGGGGAAAAAGGGAGAAATTAAAGTTCAGAAGATAGGAAGCCCAGCAACAGTGATAAGCATAGGAATGCAAGTTCGAATCCTTCAGCAGGTGATTGCATACAACGATTGGCGCGGTGAAGAATCTGACGAGGTTTGGGGATAAGAAATCAGCGTATCTTTAGCAGATGACGTGGCAAATACTTTCACGCTTGTTTAATCTGAATGGTATAAAGAGGATAAAAGAACAATGAAGCCTACAGGATTATGAGGCTGATAATCATTGTGACGGCAATGATGATGATGATGATGATGATGATGATGATGATGAAATAGTAAAAAGGGAAATATAAAATATCTAAAGCAACACAGTATGGTGCAGATAAATCGAAACTTCTGACATGGTAACAGCGCCGTAACGTCACAGCATACCGAGGTTTCGAGATCGCCATTAAAAAGTACTGTACCTCAGTAGCTGTCTGGCCATTGACGCACGAGGTGCTTAGTAATCAACATGTTTTTGGAAGACGGTCGTCGAGCTGCTCTTGTGAAGAGCCTTCGCACCGGCCGCGAAAATCATTAAATGGTTTAAATACGCTAAAACCATGGTCTACGAACTTGCAAAGGCATATGGGTCCTCAGTCGACAAGGAAAATTTAAGGCCAATAAGCAAGACTCATAAGAAGCGCCCTGGCACCACCAGGACACCCGAGTTCGTCGCCGATGTTGCCGAGGCTCCCGAGACTCTTGGACAAGCACGGCTAATGGGAGTTTCTACGTCGCCCACAATACCAGGACCACTAAGGTTTGGCTCATCGCTAACGTGCTGTACCACTAGTTGCCCTAATTATGGACCCCCTTATCGGCAGACTGCAATCTATTCGACTATTTTGTTTTGGGCGTCTTGGAGAGAGAAGTGAATAGCAGACCCTATAACACCAAGGAGGCTCTCAAAGCAACCTTCTGGAACGCAGTTGCCTACAGGGACGCCGTTAACAAGGCCTGCTCTAGTTCTGGTTCTGTCTAGAGAAAGTGGTAGCCGACAGTGGTGGTCACATCGAGTGATATTTGTATCTTATATATGTGCCTGTGTATAAAATTTCATTGAAATATATTAATTTGTTATATGAAAACGCAGTTTTTATTATCCATTAATTTTTTCAGATTTATCTGCGTCACACTGTATATACACTTTGCGGCAGATATTAAAGAACAAATTATAAAGCGAGTATCAGTAAAATTAAAGTCTTTACTAATCTAGTTTTAAAATTTTGAGTGATTTGTTGTTGTTTTTTTACGCTGTGATTGTTATAAGTCTTGGGTTTGTAACAGAAACAGTGAAAGCGACTGGATTTTCGTGACAGTGCTGTTGATCGATGCTTTTATATATTGATGGTAGGAGAGATGTCTGAAAGAGTACATCTGGTGAGAAGTTGGAGTTTGGAGAGATTGAGAATGATAATAGGTGGCTAAGTCTGTTGTAATGGTGGAAGAGCTGGTGAGGAGAGATTTGCTGTCGTGAGATGATGTTATTTCAAGTGTTTCAAATTTATTTCGGTAGCGTTTGCTTAGAGAGTGGATCGGATCAAGATGACGAGAGAAAAAAGAAGAAATTAAAGTTCAGAAGATACAGATGATGAGTCAGCAAATAGAAATCTTAGAAACATCATAGAAATTGACTTTACTGACAGGATTCACAGGGGAAGGTCAGATGCTGTTATGAATTAGGATAAGGCTAAAAAGATGCGGACAGTTTCATTAAGGTTGACGGAAATATCTCTAATGTAAAACAATCAGATGAGTTGGTTTATTATCTACATGCTTAGTTCAATCTCTTTTTCCAAAATGCCGAGAGGTTTCAGGAAGGAGCAGAGGGTTGCTTGCTGCCCAGCTTCTGGAGTTTCACAACACGGATATGATGTTTAAAGCAAGATAAGATTAATAAAATGGCGCCGAGAAAGAAGTTGAATGCAATACGCCCCACAGGGAACGTCATGTCAACTGTGTTTTGAGACCAACAAGAAGAAGTGCGTTAGACTGACATAGCCTTCATTGCTCAAGACCACATTCTTTTACTCGATGACACCCCTCACCGACATCCTAGTGGGATGGTTGATATTGTCTTCGAATTGCTGCTTTTATCATTCTTACGGCGTCTGATTGCTAATCTTTTTTGCCTTCATCACAGATAATTCGATCCAGCCATCTTGTTCCTAACTGTTGAAACTTGACTAATGCATGGAATAATAATACAACACAAAATGTACTTACATATAGTCCTTTGTATATTCCTGGGAAGACCGTTCCTGGAGAATGTGTTGACTTAGTCGCAGTCGGGCAGAGTCTCTGGGTTGAATCTCTTGATTCCTCCCCAGTCTTCCCGGTACCAACCATATTTATATGGTCGGTACTCCACTATGCAAATTAGGTGGATCCTACCACAACACTAACCTTGAACATGAATGACCTCGCCACTTTCAAGAAGCTGGATATCTTTGATGATATTACTCCGAGCACAACAGGCCTTCTTATTTTCTGTATCAGATTGGAAGCTGCTATGTTAATAAACTGGATCCGTCCAAAATTGGAACTAATGCAATAACACATGCCGAAGTGTTTTATCTCAAATACGTGGCAAATAGTTATATTGTTATATACAATAAATAGTTATGTGTATCATTTCCTACTTTGCTAGTCCTATTATATAAAGATGGGTGAATTTCTAATTTCGGTGTATTTTTGCGGATGTCGCAGAATTGTTATAGTATATTTATAGTAGAAATAAGTTAAAAGATCTGTAGTGATTCACAAATAAGAAGCAAGAATTGCGTCCCCTTCCTTGTTAGGTTATAGTAAAGGAAGTAAAATTCCCATAATGAATTGGAAGTTAGATTTAGCGCGAAAATACAAAGTCTCTCTCTCTCTTAGACTACCAACTGTTGGGCCAGAATGACGTGTTTTATTTTTGTTTGTTATTTTTTGGTGCGCATGCAACGAGATATAACATATTTATTAAATGATTGATTTTTGATTTAATATACAATTGCTTACATAATTGATTCATAATATTAACAGAACACACACACATATGTGTGTGTGTGTGTGAGAGAGAGAGAGAGAGAGTTAAAGATCAATGCAGATCAAATATGGATCGGAATTCCACAGGATGATAAAATAAAAAACAAATAGGTAACGTATATGAATCTAACATCTTTCACTTTTATTAAAGCTTCGTCAGAGATTGAGAGAAAGCAGACAAAATGGCAGAAAGTCTGGTATTTTCAACTTTTTAGTGGTCAGTTCTCATTGGACAGACACGTGTCACCGTAGATAATTTTATATATGAGTAAGTTTGTCACGATTCTTGTATGTATAAGTGGGCATCGGATGATATGTATTCGTAATTGTGTATGCGTGTCTGTCTATTGGGAGCTCTAATGTATTCACCTTTGTGCGGTCAGCCAGCGCAGCGAGGTGTTACATGATTCTAATTTATGGTTGTTCTCTTTAAGCATGTATTATTGATATTAGATAGATATAAGTTAGATTCTTTAAGAATGGATTCAAAGAAAGATGGCGATGTAATGTAATGTTTTAGATGTGTGTTTACATTTGGAAAAAATGTTATTATTATGTTTCCAATGTATTTTCTCCAGAAAGAATTATGTTCTTTTTAATTAAGGTGGCATTGAGAACATCGCAACCTGTATCGCAACCTGTATCCAACCTCTCTCTCTCTCTCTCTCTCTCTCTATATATATATATATATATATATATATATATATATATATATATATATATATATATTGATTTTTATGTATTAATGCAAAGAGAGAAATGGTTTTAGACTTATCTGTATGAAGAAACATCTTGCTTGTGAGCTCATCTAAGAAAAGAAATATTTTTGGTCCAACAGTTGGCAGAGAGAGAGAGAGAGAGAGAGAGAGAGAGAGAGAGAGAGAGAGAGAGAGAAAGAGAGTGTGTGTGAGAGAGAGAGAGAGAGAGACTTTGTATTTTCGCCCTGAAACTGTAATTTTAGCGCATTATGGTAATTCGTCTTCCCTTCTTTGACTATAACCTAACAAGACAGGGGAGGTAATTCCTGCATCTTTCTTATGGATCACTAGAGATCTGCTATAAATATACTGGAGTAATTCTGCGAAATTTGCCAAAAGCATCGACTACATATCTAAAGGTTTATTTATCTACAGAGGCAATCTACAGTTGCGATTGTCTGTGTACATCAATAAACCTTTAGACAAGTTCATATATATATATATTAAAATTCGTTTCATTTAATTTTTTTTCTTTCATAGCATGAAGACAGAGCATATGATCAATTGTTACGTTTAATTAAATTTATTTTTAGTTTACCGTGAGAAATTAGCAGTGGGGGTAGTTTTCTGATAAAAAAAATTCAAAAGTCCGTGGTCGTAATTCGAAATGTCATAAATCATTCTTGAAAGATCAACTTCCCAAAATATCGGTAGGCGTAAATCAAAAGAGGTCAAAAATCGGTATCCACGACTCGCAACATGCAACTGCCAACTTCACCCCCAAAGAACATTGAATACTCTTGTTATCCGAAGTAGCGTTCTTTTATTTGACTAAGAAAAACTATGATTAGTCGAGACTGGTAGGAATAGTACCATATTTTTTTCGATTTAAGAATTTGTTTTCTCCTTCGTTACTACATTTAATTTAATATTTAAGAAGAATTGGAAGTGAATAAGAAGATACAGATTAACATAAAGTTATTGATATAAGTACATTTCAATTGCAAATTTGCTTACATAAACCGTCTTTTCTATTTCATAGATAAACTTGTAATATATTTGATGTGCTCGTAGCGTAGTCTTTATCAGCAAGGAAATCAGGATTGGTGGGTCGAGTTCGATTTTTTTGACATGACGTTTGTTTTCGCCCAAATACTCTTGGAAAGATATGGATCTAGCTTTATTACCAGCTACGGTTAAAATTAGGGCATTGGAGAAAAGCAAATTTGAACCCAAAATCGGTTGGATGTGGGGCTACCAACGCCGCTGTGGGGAAAATGAAATAAATCCAATAAATAAAATAACGAAAAAAAAAATTCATTTTCCCATGATGCAAATTATAAAAGTAACCGGAAAGGGTTTCTGGCCACGATTTTATGACGCTACTTCCGGAAAAGACTCCTGCTATCCGAAATAGAATCTTCCTCTTTCTCCTCTTGGCTTCAAGATGTGAACCACGTGGTAATAGCTTTCCCACTGGGGAATGTTAATTTTCCCCGGTCCACTGACGACTGAACTTTTTCCACTTACCAACAATATCGTTGGACGTGTTTCAACAGCCCTGTTCATGAAATTGTGGTTCTGTCTTCCTAACTGACTTGAACTCGAACAGATTTATCCATTCGTATCCTTACTTCACATAAATAATTTCTGAAACATAAAAGAAAACAGACATACTCAAGAGACATTTAACTTTGTTTCGATACAGTCAACATAAAAGAAATAAATAACCGTCGAAGAAAATCAAGTTTTTTTGTATGCTTCTATCTTTGTTTATATATTGAACATACACCTCCACCCGAAAATACAAACAAAACCCACAACCTAATTAACATCCACACCAGGTGTGTCAGATAGATGACTCGCGCTCGCATCCTCCTGTCTTGCCCTCAGTACGCCCTGTGGTGGTTAAGTTTTCCAAACCCTACTTCCTCATTGTGTCCAAGGAATTTCAGCTCTCTCTTAGCATAAGTTTTCTTGCCATCTTCTTTAAGATTTCCTTGTTGCTTACTCGCTAGTCTATTGAATTCTCAGTAGGCTTCTGTAGAACAAATTTTTACTCCTTCCAGTTTTCTTCACATCCATGTGGATATTGTCCAGTATTCACTGCTACGGAAGAAGATCACATAGCAACACAGCGCTCTTTTTTTTCTTTTTCAGTACTTTGGTTAGGTTTTGGAAGGCTCTTTCGTTAGTCTACAGCGTGTTCTGATTTCAATGTCACATTTTCCATCCTCTGTTAAACCACTTCCAAGATATTCAAACTTCTGTACTTGCTTAATACTGACATCTTAAATTTGTAACTCGCACCTCGAGCCGTTGCTTTTGCTGATGACTCTAATTTCTGTCTTCTTCTGTCTTTCTTTGATTAGTGCTTTTTTATCTATCTCTATTTCTGAGATGAGGTATTATGTACACTATTTACATTATTCGGACCATTGTCCTCATCTTTGTTGCCATATTTATTACAACGTTTCATCTGTTGGATACTCCGACCTTCTTCAGGTGGTTGGAATGTCGAACTGAACCCTTTATTTCGCTCGCTGGGGTAGACTGTTCTAGTTCCATGTGCCATGTTTAATGGATGTCAGTTATCAGGTATCTCTTGTTAATTCCCCTCTCGAAGTTCTCCACTGCCTTAAACGGGTATTGAACTCACACTCTTTGGGTCCTATCACTGGATCTAACAAACGCCTTTATCCACTGTGCCATGTGTCAATGAGAAGAAGGCCGGAGCGTACAACGGTCAAAACGTAGGGAGGGTCATCAACACAGTATCATCTGCGTAACTTATGTTATTAAGTTTACATCCAACGATAATAAATCATGATAGTACCCCCGGATCACTTAGGATATAGAGATTGAATCTGGGGAGGAGAAACGGCCTTGTCTTACGCCATTTTCTATTTTTATGTAGTTACTTAATTCACTTTCTATCTCTATGGATGTCAGTTATCAGTTATCTTCCAGTATAACTTCTGGATTATTGTAACATCCTTTTCAAATATATCGAGTTTTCCCAATAGCTCAGATAGATTCTTGTGCTGTACCATGTCAAATGCTTTTGCATAATGTATGAAACATAACTGCATAGTCTTCTGCATTTGTATTGCTCTTTCTAATCAGGGACATTGTGTTTTGTTGCTCCAATGTCTTTGACAAAGCCTCACTATTCTTGTCTTAGTTCCAGTCTAATTTTGCTTTATGCTCCATTCATCAGGATTCATATTATTAACTTGGTTATCTGGCTCATTAAACAGATTTTTCTATGGAGCTCGCATTTGTTTGCACTTGTTTTCTTAGGAAATGTTACGAAGATGGATTTAGTGATGTCCTCCGGTATATCGCCACTGTTGTATATTTCATTTATTATTTCTTTGATATTGTCTGAAACAGGAAGCATTTCTGTTGCGATCCCACCAGACCCTGATGCTTTGTTCCCTTTCATCTTATCCATTGCTGATCTTATTTCAGATTTTAAGACTTCTGGCCTTTCCATATTTTCGAGCGTCGCAGATTTCCTTCTCGCATCGTGAAATAGTTCTTTGACGTATTCGCTACGCCTTTGGAATGTTTCATTTTTTCTATTATCAATGAATCTTCCTTTGATTTTACAGAGCTTGTTCATTCGCTCACCTTTCGCGTGTAAATTCTTTTACTCTGTTTTGCATACTTTCTGTGTTTGTGTTGCTCATCCTCTCAATTTCTGCGCACGTTTTATTAAGCCATTCCTCTTTAGCCAACCCACATTTATATTTAATTTCTGTATTTAGTGTTCGGTACTCTTTTCCATTCATTGGCATTGTTTGTTGTCACTTTTTTAGAATTTTCTCTCTCATCCATTCGTCCCATTTTATCTCATTCAGCGAAGTCATTATTGTTTCTTTCAGCATGTTCTACTTTAATTTTGTAGTCTGGTTCAGGTTATATTCGTGTATAACTGTTTTTTATGGCAACACAGATCCTTCAGGACTCCTTTGTATTGCAGTTTAGACGCTGCTTAAGTCTTTTTTTATTTTCTCTAGTTTTACTTTAATCTAGCACACGACTAGACGATGGTGGCTCTCACTGTCGGCACTTGCTTTGCAGTATAGAACTGTGTTTTTAAACATTTGTTGATAGTTAAGTAATCTATCTGTTTGTTTGTTTCTTTTTCCGGTCTTCTTCATGTCCATAGACGTCTCGGATGCTCCCGGAACGAGATGTTGGTAATTATTTGATCATTTGCTGTACAGCACTGGACCCACCATTTACCAACTCCGTTTCGGGATCCTGGTCTGAATTTGCCAATTATTTATCCGTTTCGTTCTTTTTCTATCTTGGCATTCTCATTTACTCTGGCGATAGTGATGTCTTGTGATTTACCTAGGGTCTTTGCGTTGTAAAGAACGCCGTAAAAAGTTATCGTTTTCCTCCTCCGTGCACTGCGCTGTCAGCACATATACAAAAATAATTGTTAGGTTAAAGAACTTTCCTTTTAGTTTAATCTGTATGAGATTTGACAGTATCCCAGAGCACATTTTCTCATATCGTTTCTTCATTTACCGGGTGGGGATTTATCTCCATTGAACTTTACTCGCTTCACGCCGTTATCTGTAATACTTTTGTTGTTTATCGTCATGATTATTCCTGGCATAGGTAATAAAGTGGTTTCCCGTGGCCGTCTCCATGGTGTTTTTATTGAAACACCAACTCTGGTTAGCTGGTTGTTGGCTCATCGAGAGTTCTTCCTCCGTTCGAAAAAGCTTATTTTTCAACCTAGAGGACTATTAAGAAGTAGAACGCTGATTTTAATAGAGTAGAGGTTTTAAAATATGCATGTTTTGTCTTTATTAATTAATGTGAGCTACAGTATCTATCCTCTTCAGTGTCACCGATTTGCTTGCCACTTGACTCATCTTAACCAATTAGCCATGTTTCATACGCGATGTGACAACCAAAGTGACTTGGGAGTCACATACATATATTTGGCGATAAGCTCAATTGGAGAGCGTCTGAACGTACTAGGTTACTTGGCCAGAAGGTATTTTTAACTGAATTACAATCTGCAACATTATGTGCTGCTTTTATTAGAATCTATCACCATATCACAAACATTTGGCTGCATTGCATGCGCCTTGTATCTAGGTATAATGATGAGTTTCATATATACGTTCACTCAACGTCACTTTGTTAGTGTGCTGCTCTCTATGAATAATAATAATAATAATAATAATAATAATAATAATAATAATAAAGACAGCTCAAGTACAAGCAGGGGAAATATTAGCAGATGATAGCCAGAGTCCATGATGATAAGTCTATGATAATAAGCGCACTTGGACTAAAGTTAAAAAAAGAAACTAGAATCATGATTAGATGAGTGAACAATGTCGTCAGTCCAGATCATGACATTTCTAGTTTCTGCGATGATACGGAGGAAGGTGCTGAAGGTTTGTGAAAACTCGCCTTTACTCAAACACCGGGAATAATAAACACCAGACATCTGGTGTGGACATTCAAATAGATGAATAATAATAATGATGCTAATAATAGTAACAATAGAAGAAGAAGAAGAAGAAGAAGAAGAAGAAGAAGAAGAAGAAATAGGAAAATCCTTGGGAATTAAATGTGAAATAAAAGAAGAAATGAAAAATAGGAAATCAAGAGAAAGACGTAGATTAGAAGAAGAAAAAAGAGAAAAAAAAACGGAAAGAAGGAAAAAGAATATTTTCTGAGAAAAAAAGACGAAGAACAGCAACAAGGAAATGGAGAGGGGGATGAAAAGTGGGTGAAGATGATGAGGCGTAAGAAGACACACAGAACAAGAAGGACAACAATAAATCAAGTATCTTCATTCAAATTAAAGCGAGTAATAATAGCAACCGCAATAACAGAAAATGCAACAATGGCAGCAAATGTGATGTGAAAAACCCGAACATTGAAGAATTACTAGAAAGGACCTAAACAAAACAGGTTGCTGCTTAACATCACTGAAACATGAATAATGGGAGTAAGTTGAAAACTATGTAATTTAAAGAGAGAAAAAAAAGATACTGGATATAATGGTTGGATGGGTGTAGACATAGAAAAATATGAACAGACCGAGATAGATATGAACAGACTGTGATAGATAGATAGATAGATAGATAGATAGATAGATAGATAGATAGATGTAGATAGACTGGAAGAGAGAGAATGAGAAATCGGTAGATATGTATAGACTGAGATAGATAGATAGATAGATAGATAGATAGATAGATAGATAGATAGATAGATGGCGCGATGGATAAATTGTCGTATAAAATGAAAATGACACTGATATCTCATTTTAACAGATATATTTACCAAAATTACACAAAAATATCTTGAAAAACTAAAGAGTAAATTTACTCAATAAAATCGCCATTGGCTTCAATTACGGCCTCCAGACGATATCGGAATCTCCTGCATCTCTTCTGGAGGGTCTTCATGTTTATTTTGGTGAATGCTGCCCTCAGTTCATCTTTGATGTTACAAGGAGTTTTATTTGTCTCTCACTTAACTGCGCTCCACACATAATAATCAAGGATGGTGCAGTCTGGAAAGTTAGGTTGCCAAATGTAAGTGGTGATGCGGTTGCAGAAATTTTCTGACAGGCAAGACTGGGTTCTGCTTCTGCGGCATAGTGTAGAGTCCTGTTGCCAGACATAGGGTCTTTCAGCAGCCATCTTCTTGACCCAGGGCAACACTACCTCCTCAAGGCACTTGATTTAGGCCTCCATGTTGAGTTCAAGACTCGCACCAACAGATTAGGGAGTTCTTTTCTTATCAGAACAATCAGTGTGATATTTCCGAACTTCGGTAATTTCGTAATCACCATTAGACTCATTCAACTCTTTCCGAATCCTTTGTACTGTCCTTAGCTTGACCCTCAAACACTCTGAGATGTTCGTATTGCAGCTTCCGGCACGGATTTCAAGCAGTAAAGCATGTCGTTTCATTTCTGGAGGAATGAATTGCGTCATGGTGCTCTTTTTCTAACAGACTCTGCCCAGCTGACTCTACTATAGTGTGCAGTTGACAAAATCAAAAACAAGCAACACGCATGAGCGAAATTAAAAATATAAACTGGCGACAATTTATGTATCGCAATCTGTAGATAGATAGATAGATAGATAGATAGATGTAGACTGACTGGAATAGAAAGAGAAATAGATAGATATGAACAGACTCAAATAGATACACAAACAGATAAATATAGACAAACTGAAACAGATAGAGAAAAAAAGTGACAGATAGATTTAGATAAACTTGAATAGAAAGAGAGAGAGAGAGAGAAGAGATAGATAGATTGTTAGTTATGAACCAACTGATACAGCGATGTAACTAGCTAGCTTCCTTGATTGATTTGAATAGATTAAGGTAGAAATACAGATACATGGAGAGATATGAGCAGACTACTTTAGGTAGTTAACCTAACTGCTTGACTTTAAAAGACTAAAGCAGATAAACGCATATATATGAGTACACTGATCTAGCTAGCTAGATTGATTTGAAGACACTGTGATAGAAAGAGATTTCCCTGCGTGATTAATTGGATGAAAGGGTCTTTATTTATCTCTATATATGATGATAGGGATGGCGTGACAGTCGTCTGTTCGAAAAATGGCTTTAGTTAAGCAAGAACAAATCCTAACTGTTTATGTTCATTTTTCACTAATATTCTTAATGCCGTTTCCTTTCAGGACGTGTGTAATCATGGCTCTCGACAACTTCCTGTCTTTTGGTATTATAATTAACTCTTCCCACTTGACCACTCTTTTTTTTGTTGTTGTTTTGTGGTCTTTGTCCTGCGATCTGTTTACTCAAACTCGTCAAGTAATTTACTTGCTGCTTTTCCCTGCTTCTCTTGACTTCAATATGTCATGTGAGTGCGATTTCAATCGTTCGATGTGGCAGTGAATCTCACGAATGAGAAAGTGGTAACGAGGGCATGATGCTGAGAATACTATAGAAGCAACAATCTGGTATAGAAGACAAGGTGTTGCACATGAAGTTATTCTCGCTCTCAACACTGTTGATGGACCCAAAGAAACGACAAAGACCGGTACAATTTGGCACCAACAACTTCGAAGTAACCATGAGTTAAGTGAAAATACTTTATCATATTAATTATATATATATATATATATATATATATATATATATATATATATATATATATATATATATAATATTGCACAATGATACAATTCTGAGTTTCATGCATGAACCACACAGTGAAGAAAAAATATTTATTAGTAATATTATATATATATATATATATATATATATATATATATATATATATATATATATATATATATACGAGGGATGCTGAAAATTATCGAGACAACTAACTTACTCAAATCTAACAAAACTGCCAAGTATAATCATTTTTGGTTAGGCCATGAACTTATTACCACTCCTTATATATATATATATAAGAAAGAGAGTTCGAGAGTGTGAGAGAGAGAGATTTGCAAGTGTTTACAAAACATTAACGTAAACACTTTAATAACTTAGCGTGAAAGAGTTTAAGCACCTGTTCAGTCCATCTTGTTTCACAGCATTTTAAAAGCTAGAGATGAGATGAAACACATTTTATTGCTGTTATTATTCTTTCATTTAAAGGTTTTTCCCTTTAGGCCTGTGAACAACGAAAGCAGAATAAAAACATCTATTCTATCTCTAAACAATTGAAAATAGACGCGAATTTCGTGAATAATTGAACCTGGATTTCTTTAGGGTGCTTTACAACGCATATCTTGAATAACTGAAATACACTTATGCTACTGACTTAGAGTTATGGGCGAAAAGATCTAAAGTTCAACCTGAAAGTCACTAGTGTACCGGCAAACATATCCGGAAGATCTGTGTTTTATAACGACACTAGATGTCCTCTTTACTTAATAAGTCAAGGTTATTTGAAAAGAAACCAAAACATCCTAATTTCTTAGAAATCTTCTTTTCCTGTGCTATCAACAAGTTTTACTTTAAACGCATAGTAAATGTTTTGTTATTTCTCTTTTTTATAGCCATGGAAATATTGACTAACATTTATTTAAAATAATGTTTCTAGTTTAATGTAGCTGCTGTTTGTAAGTGGTATGGAAATACACCACCTTGTCTGCCAATGGATTTCACTTAACGCCACTTGGTGTCATGACAACAAAGTATAACAAGTAAAGAACTCAGTCTTTTTTGTTTTGTTTTCTTCTTTTTTATACTAGGCGGTGTAGTAGTGACTATATAGGATTTGTATTCGCTAGTGGAGATTTCATTCCTTGGGCAGGTCGATTGCTTACTTTCACTAAACTACGTGACGCACTTACAGATGCATTTCCACACATACACACACACATAACCTCTAATGCCATAAATATATTTTCTTTCGTTTTTTTTTTTATCTATCTGTATACACATACATATAATTTTCTTTTTCTCTTCTTTGTGAACCATATTGTTCTTTATATAGAATTCTCCACATGTCGAATTCCTTTATTTTAATGTGGAATTCCATATTATCTGCCACACTGCAATCCTTGTCAGGAATGGAACCAATCGATTAAAGGAAAGTTGATCGATGAAATAGCCAACACCACTTCACATTTCTCTTGTTCATTTTCGTTAGAAAAGTCTTGTAGTATCTGGGCTCAATGGATAAGGAAGTTTTTTTATTACGACCGATTGCAACTTGGCAATTACCGTAGAATTACCCATAGACTATTCATTTGTCTGATTTAGGTCTTCACTACCACTGTACTCTACCACTGTATTCTTGTACTGGATTAATCTAGGTCTAATAAAAGACTTTTACCGTAGCGTTGTTAACTGCTGAAATGTTGCTGTATACTCACTATTATGGGTCTATGCCTAAAAAGCGAAGTAACTGTCTAGAAATCTGCCTTTTAACGTATCATCATCATCATCATCATCAATCTTATGACCAAAAAATGGTCTTAGGGTCATTGCGCAGCTAAGCACCTAAACAGTTCCTTTCACATATTTGGGTTGGTATTTATCCATGAGTCTCTTGGGAAAATGGACTTGACGGAGTCAGTCTCTCATCACAGCCGATATCCTCGTCTTGATTACGGACTCGTGACCGTTGATTCAATGTAAAGATCTTTCTGCTCTGACCTTTAACTTCAGCCTAGGAATCACCCCCTCCACTACCATCACTACACTGCAATGCCGTGTCTTCACCATACTCGCTGCATAAATAGTTATGCACCCCAGACTACCCCATTGTGCCAGATAACTATTGACTCTCTAAAGAAAGATAAATCCGCACTTTGCTTTTAACACTGCTTGGTATCTAGTCACCCTTATCTCCTGAAAAACTTGGTGGAGGAATCGTTTTAGTCACCGATGACATCAATGCTGCAAGTAGTGACATTGTAACTACGTTTCATTTTCTTGCTGGTACCATAATTTCGTACTCGAGTCAAAGTAAAAGCTAGAATTTTCGACAAAGGAAGGTCAGTTTTAATTAGAGATCTGGCGTTATTCGATCGTACTACCCCATTACTACTAAAATAAACCTAGTAAGCACCTATTTCTCAGTGCAGTTCGTTCTGATTCTTTTTCTGCTCAGCTTAAATACGGTGCAGCTGTTGGGCATTTGAAACAGAGTCCAGTGACCAAGTGGGAAATCAAAGGAAGACGTTTACGAAACTGGTCGACGCAATTTAAGAAACAGGTCGACGCAAAGAGAATTAAGTTCCTAAAATGGCAGCACATAGCAATTCTACCAACGCCAATCAACTTCAGATTGTGAAAGTGAATAAGATCTAACTGCTGAGTATTGAAGACTGTTGGCCAGAATTCTATCTTCAAAAACTACACAGGAAAACAAAAACGAATACTGCCGATTCTTACTGAATTGAATATACATAATAAATAAATTTATTATATATATAATAAATAAATTTATTATATACATAACAAATTTCTGGTTTACTATTAAAGTAATGTCAGGAAAGCGTGCAAGCGATTCCATTAATTTGCTGTCTTTGAAACTATTTTTCATATTAGAAAAGAAGCATATTTGCCGAATCTAAAAGCTCATTGATTTACAAGAATATTGTCTTTTGTTTTGGGGTTAACACCTGCATCACTCTAAAAACGTCTTTCAATTAAAATGCAATAATTCTCCGCGTTTACATCATTAACATTTAAGGAAACTATAGTTTCAACCTTTAGCCAAAGACATTACCCCCATTCTGTGGCATTGGTTGTCTATTTTCATAAAGGAACCTAAATCTAGTTCACTCATCAGCTTCATTCAACATTGCTCTATATTCATCACTTATTATAGAAAAATCAGTTTCATTGAACTTCTTCGACGAACTTACAAGTTTCTCTTTGTAATATTTATTTTACTAGTTATTCTGTATTTTTTTTCGCTTTGTTTACATCCACAATACCAGCTTCTTCAAAATTTAGTCTGATTGTTACACACATTAGTTTTTAATTTTAATGAAGCCTCTTTTTTGTGACGTTGAAATCAGAAATATTGTTTGTTCTTATCTTGCGAAGGTTTTCAATTTCTGATTGTTATCTGATATCAGTTCAACTTTTTCGCAGTTTTCAAAGTTATATTTTTATTATTCAAAACCTTTACAAATAACTTGTTTTTCTTTTGAGGTCATATGTTTCTTATGACTCATGATAATCTTTATATGTATATGAAATTTAAAAAAATATCAATGACCATACTCTCTGTCTGTATCTCTCTCTCCGTATATAGTGCAAATATGATAAACAATCTTCTTGTTGCATAATAGTGTCATTCTTATGACAGATACAATGGCATAAATACGAGTAAACCAGTAAACAAAAACAGCTTCCCACTCAAACTTCAAACTCCCATATTCGCGGTATTTGTACCAATTTTGGTAGTATAGAATCTTCTCTCTTAAAATGTTCTACAGATATCATAGCAGTTTACGAAACTAATTTAAATTCTTCTATTACTACCGATGAAATCTCTGTTCCAGACTATATTCCTGTTTATTAAAAATATTCTAGGATATATATGCATTGCCTTGGTGTTTCCACCCAAGAAAATCTTCCAATGCCAAAAGAATGATCATTCTTACATGTGCCTTCGACTTACTTTATTGCACTCTGTTTGCTATCTCTTTTTCCTTTATCGTTATCCTTCTTCTCAAGATTGTAACATATTAGACAAAATATCTGACAATATAGAAATGTCTCACTTTCCCCAATAATTATGATCAACACGCTTCTTTACTTGATTTGTTCCTTTCGTCCTCACCTCAGCTCTTGTCGAACATCTGAGTTCTGTCCTCTTCACAATTCGGATCACATTGCAGTATTTGTTGGTATTTCTTTTGAGTTGTCTATTAGACAACAACTTCCTATACAAGACTTATTTCTGTTACAAACGTATTGATTAGGATTCCTTTCGCGACTTATTACAAGATGCCCATTGGATTGATCTTCATAACCTTCTTATTGAGAATTGTGCCACGGAGGTTTCTTCTTGACTTACAGCCGGCATCGACGCTTTTGTACCTTCTCGGAAATACCAGGTGAAAAAAACAGTCTTCTCTTTCGTTCATTTTTCGCCTTTTTAACCTCTATAGACCTCAGGTATTATTTTTTACGGTTGTACCAGAGTGATAATTCTGATCACAACAGACGCTTCTGCTCGTAATAAATGTGTCACAAAGCATCATTGTATCCCAGCAATAGTCCTTAAGAAATGTGCTCCTGAACTGGCTCCTGTTCTCTCTAAATTCTACAATAAATGCCCAGCTGCTTCTTGGTTTCTTGTTTGTTGGAAATCCTCTTCTATAATTAAGTTTTTGGAGAAATCAGGCGAATGGTCTGATCCTTGTAACTCTCGATCTATTAGCTTACCTATTTTTGGAAGACTACTAGAGGCTCTACTCAACTCTGTCGGATAAGCCCTTCACCTAATGGCGCCATCTTTCAGATATGCAATATATCTTTTTAACTGTTCATGTATTAATGATTAT